TGACCAGTGGTCACTGTAGATAAACCACCCCAATGTCCAGTGTCTGTGGTTTGACCAGTGGTCACTGTAGATAAACCACCCCAATGTCCAGTGTCTGTGGTTTGACCAGTGGTCACTGTAGATAAACCACCCCAATGTCCAGTGTCTGTAGTTTGACCACTGGTCACTGTAGATAAACCATCCCAATGTCCAGTGTCTGTGATTTGACCAGCCACTAGGACAGACAGACAGACAGACCAGTGGTCAAGCACTAGGACAGACAGACAGACCAGCGGTCAAGCACTAGGACAGACAGACAGACAGACCAGCATTCAAGCACTAGGACAGACAGACAGACAGACCAGCGGTCAAGCACTAGGACAGACAGACAGAGCAGCGGTCAAGCACCAGGAACTAGGAGTAGTAACCCAGAAGGCTGGCCACCCTCTGGTTGATCTTGTGTTCCTCGTTCCAGACGCCAGTGTGCACAAAGACGGTGGCGCAGCCCCGCGACAGCACGTTGTGTGCCTGTACGGCCAGACACAGGCAGTAGTTGTCCAGGGCCAGGTTGTAGTCCTTGTCCAACAGCCAGGCCATGGCAAACTCCTGGGCCGCCTCGTAGAACAGGCCCAGCTCCATGAGGCCGTAGCCCAGCACCGAGTGCAGGAAGGGTATGTCCCTGGCGTAGACCTCGCCCATCAGAGACAGCAGCGCCCCCTCGGCGTGCCTCAGCTGACCCAGCATCTTGTAGCACAGCACCAGGATGTAGTAGGCCAGCACGGATGTGGGCATGATGGCTTCTTCCTGAGCATCCACTTCCTCCTGAAGGGGCTCGGGGAGCGTCACTCTCTCAAGGCCACCATACACGATGTCTGACGAGTATCTGGGGGAGAGACAGAGAGACAGATAGCTGTGTGTGTGTGTGTGTGTGTGTGTGTGTGTGTGTGTGTGTGTGTCTGTGTGTATGTGTGTGTGTGTGTGTGTGTGTGTGAGGGGAACGTCACTCGCTCAAGGCCGCCTTACACGATGTCTGACGAGTATCTGGGGGAGAGACAGAGAGATAGAGGGATCGATAGATAGATAGAGAGAGAGAGAGAGAGACAGATAGAGAAATAGATAAAGATAGAGAGACAGAGAGAGATAGAGAGATAGAGAGACAGAGACAGATAGAGAGACGGAGAGACAGACACAGAGAGAGAGAGAGATAGAGAGACAGACAGAGAGAGAGAGAGAGATAGAGAGACGAAGAGACAGACAGAGAGAGAGAGAGAGATAGAGAGACGAAGAGACAGACAGAGAGAGAGAGAGATAGAGAGACGAAGAGACAGACAGAGAGAGATAAATAGAGAGACAGAGACAGAGAGAGATAGAGAGACGGAGAGACAGACAGAGAGAGGGATAG